TTTTTTTTTTAACTTTATTTCTTCTCTCTGGGACAAGCCAGGCAGGCTGTGGTTCCTTTGGTGAAGGAGAAGCAATGCAGCTTGAAAGGGCAACACATGTAAATGATTGTGCGATGCCTGTTCTTGTCCTGGGGTTTGACCCAGATCAATCAGAGCTGCTCCAAATGTGTATTTATAGTAGTGGGGACCAGCCTTTTTTTGGCTGCATTCCTTATCCCTGAATGCCTCTCTGATGCCTGTCTGATCTGCTCTGCTTTCTGCTCCCTACCTTATCTGCTACTGTTTCCTGTTCTATCCCTGACCTGCCCCATGTCACTACCTGTGGCACGTCTGGCATGTATACTGTGGATTGGTCATCTTTAATTTACAGCCTTTCTTTAATGGAAATATAGTAGAGCCCTCCAAATGTGAATCAATTTGTCACAGCTCTATGGTAGCCGTAGATTTCACTAGAGAAGTTGGGATTAACTTGCAGCAAGCTAATGAGATGAGTTTCTGTTGTGGGTGGATTCTGCTGTGAATTACAGGAATGCTGGTGGGCTGGAATGGTACTAGCTTTTCACACTTAATAAAGAAATCTGTACCCGAGAGGTTTCCCTAGATCTGACTTCAAGGTTTCATTAACATGGTTTGCACTCCCACTCTACTTGTCTGCCAGGATCTGCTATGCCCTTTGTGAATGTGTGCACACATGAACACCTGGGACTTTTGTTGTCCCTGCTAGAACAGGCTGAATATTTGGGAATCTTTGGAAGAACTAGAGTGTTGTACAGCAAACAGCCTTGGAAGGTTAAGCTCCCTGTCCTGTGCCTGCAGATCATAGTTCTAGACAATGTAAAAATTTTGGGATTTGATTGCTCTGTTTGCCCCACTGCCACTGGCTGTTAGGGTTGATAATTCAGCCTCAATAACTTGAATCCAGGCCTCCTGTTGAGCTAAGTTGGGATGAATTTCCAGTTCTGTTAGCCAGCCCTGTAGCTCTTCAGCAGATAAAGGCAGAGTGCCAGCACTCCACGACTGGTTATTTTTGTCTTCCCTTCAGGATGACAACTGGGGTGAGACCACCACAGCTATCACGGGTACCTCAGAACACAGCATTTCTCAGGAGGACATCGCCAGGATCAGCAAAGATTTGGAGGACAGCGTTGGTTTGGACTGCAAACGCTACCTTGGATTAACTGTGGCAGCTGTACTCGGACTCCTTGTCTTCCTCACCCCTGTGGCCTTCATCCTGTTACCCCAGATCCTGTGGCGGGACGATCTGGAGCCTTGTGGTACTGTCTGTGAGGGATTGTTCATCTCTGTGGCTTTTAAACTCCTTATTCTCCTGATTGGGACCTGGGCCCTGTTCTTCCGCCAGCCAAAGGCAGATATACCGCGGGTGTTTGTGTTCCGGGCTCTCCTGCTGGTCCTTATCTTCCTGTTTGTGTTTTCCTACTGGCTCTTCTATGGTGTCCGCATCTTGGACTCCAAGGACACCAATTACCAGGGCATAGTGCAGTATGCAGTGTCCTTGGTGGATGCACTCCTCTTCATTCACTACCTAGCCATCGTGCTGCTGGAGCTGAGGCAGCTGCAGCCCACCTTCACCATCAAGGTGGTTCGGTCAACAGATGGAGAGTCGCGATATTACAGCCTGGGGCACTTGAGGTAGGTTTCAACTTCTTTAAATAAGGTAGGTCTAGAAATTTTCAGAAAGCATGGCTTTCTGAGGGCTTGCTGGATTCTTGTTTCCTTCCCTGAGCATCCCAGAGTCATTTTAAAGATTGCTGACTTTAAGTCTTACAGCTGGTCTGTGAGGTAGGAGAGAGAGGTCTCCTCTTCACAGATGGGTATGGAAGCCAAGTGACTGATCTGAGGTAAGTCAGTAGCAGAACTGGAAACAGATTTCCTCAGACTCATGCCTATGTGTTTTAAAATCCAATCTGTGCTTCCCCTTTCTTCTCCTTAAGAACTGATGCTGAGAGTGACTAGAATACCCCCAAATATCATTGTAGTCATTGGCAGGAGAAAGGATGTCCTTTTTATTTTATGGGATCAGCAGCCGACTAGATGGGAACCCTTTTTGAACTCAACATGCAAGTCCCAGAGCCTGTAACCTGGGGCACAGAGGGCTGCTGAGAGAGTTGGCTCTCTCTGGAGAAAGCTGAAGGCGTGCGCTCAGAAATGCTTGCATGTCAACCACTGTCAGTCCCACATGTGAGCTCTAGAATGGGCGACTGGTGCATCCCGAGTCTGGGGTGGGGCACTAGTTGGGCATGACCGGGGGATTGTTTGGGGCAGGGGGTGCCCCTCCATTGGCCCATCGTGGCGACCAGGGGGGTTCCCCCAGTGGCCAGTTGCTGGGGGGGGGGTCCCAGTAGCAGAGCCAATTTCAGGACAGGGGCATGAGCGTTGTCCATGCTCCCCTAGCAGCTGGAGTGCTCATTCCTGGGGGGGCATGTGCCCCCCCTACATGTCACCTGTGAGCTCTAGGTGCATTTTCAGGAATGGGGCAGAATGGTTTGGCTTTGATTTGACTTTTGAAGCTGTGGCTTCATTTGTTGGTGCCTGGTACACTTGTTCTGATGTTGCAAGGGTGCGTAATGAACTGCTAGACCTGGGAGTGCTCTGGGAGCTCTTGGGTTCCATTCAATACCCCGCTTCTCTTGGGCTTTGTGCGCCCCTCCAAGGTCCAGTAACATGGCTAGCACTCTTTGGAAAGAGGAACCTGGTTTCTGGTTCCCTTGCCATATGCAACTGATAGTCTGGGAACTGTTGATGTCTCCCAAGCTTTGGAGTTGGTGGAGGAGGAAAGCCACGTGACTTCAAGTGTGAAAGGGAGGAGTTGTGAACTGCATGCAACAGCTATTCCGTTTATCCTGTCCAGACCCTGGTGGCACACACTGATCTATTGCAGATGGACTGATTAGTGTTGGCTGATTTATATGGATATGCAATCAGTCTCTTGGAGCCCTTAGCTTAGCAGTAGAATTGCTTTGAAGTAGGCTTAATGGTTAGAGCAAGAGCCTGAGATTGAGACTTTTGGACCTTGTTCCTGCCTGTGCTGCTGACTGTCTGGCTTTGGAGTGCAGTGAGAGTGACTGAGCTATACCTCTCCTCTGCAAAACAAGGAACCAGGGGCTTACTCTTTCTGACTCTTTCCAGGGGAGGAGGGGAGAGGTATGGGGCTTATTTTGTTTGTAAAGCACCGAAAGACCTTTCTCAGCAGAATGGGAGCACTGCCTGGGTTACCTTGGATCACAGAATGCTGTGACTTTTTTTTTTTTTT